GATATTACAAAAAGAATGATGAAAGATCCCAATGGATAGGTGATCAAGTAATTGTCCGAGAATCGATAAGGCCAATGGACTTTATAATTGTAGACATGTTGCCGTACTCTAGAGTGGAAAGTATTGCTTTTAGACGGTTTAATTTAGCATATCCAAACGTTAATTGTAAATACAGTCCTAAACATATGACAAAGTGAAGGCAAGGAAGAGGACCAAACCGGCATTTACGTTCCAGAAAAGCTTAAATTAATTTTTCTATTCGTGCAATGCAGCAAATATAGGTTATGTAATGCGTATAGTGCTATTTGATTCTATACATTCTTTATCTAACACTTTGCAGCTGGTCATCAATGATGCCTTATTCAGAGTAGAAGGCATAGAAACAGCGATAAAAAGGCGCAGAAGAATCACTCACTTTCGAAGGAGTGTACAAGCCACCAGAAAACTGACAGATTGTCAAAATTAATGCTGAATAAGTGCCGTGGAATAGCACGTACCTAATGTTGCAAAGATTGGTTGAACAAAAACGTGACATTAAGATTAGTAATGTTTTTTATTTTGTGATGAACACAGAATTATTAAAATCCTTGGATTTTGTCTTTTATTTACCATTAGAAAATGTTTCGGTTTCGGCCGGACACTAATAATTGACTACATCGATACATAATTAAATCAACTATAAGGAATATTTACACGTTATCTTGTAAAATTGACAAAGAGCTTGTAAATTTTTATAACTTAAACCTTAAGCAGGGTGTATTTTTTAGCTTTCTGGCAGTAACTGACGACGATGTAGAACGTGCTATGCACAGTATGAAGAGTAATGCGCTTGGGTATGATTATCTTAATACTAAATGTATCAAATTATATTGCCCTCAGTTGATACCCTACACTCGCGATATTATAAACTCAAGTATAGCTTTCGATGTCTTTCCGAAAGCTTGGAAAAAAGCGTTAATCAAGCCGTTGCCTAAAATTAATAAACCATCAGGTCGCAACGATTTGAGACCCATTATCATCCTGCCTGTGCTCTCAAAAATTGCTGAACGAATCTTATATGAACAAATGGTGACCTTTGTGGAGGAGAACAACATTTTGCCACAGAATCAATCAGACTTTAGATGAAGTTATAGTTCTACTACTGCACTTATACACATCATAGACGATGTTGTTCGGGAAACTGACAGAGGTAACTTTGCTTGTTGGACTACTCCAAGGCATTCGATACGGTCGACCATGAGACTCTTGTATCAATCTTAAAGTATTTGGGGTTCAATAATAAAGCAGTATGTTTAATGCGTTCTGAATACTTTCTTTCGGAGAGAGAATAAGTATCTGTGAACGGTCACAGTCTCCATTACTTTATGCTGTATATACGCCAAACTTCGATCAATAGATTAAGCACTATAAAGCACATTTCTATGCGGACGACACACAAATACATCATTCCTTTTCATGATGTTAAACAGGCATGTGCACATATTAACAGCGATCTGCATTCCTTATGTGAGTTTTCTTACCGCCATAGACTTAAACTTAATCAAATGAAATCGAATGTGATTGTATTTGGTCCGAAGAAACAAAAACAGATGGTCTTACAAGAACTACGCATTATAGTGAACAATGAAGTCTTGCCAATTCAGAAATCAGTTAAAAATTTGGACATTGTGATCGATGATAGTCTGAGTTTCAATGAACATATTAACAAGTGCATCCAGAAAGCTTATAGCAGTTTAAGAATTATCTATAGCAAGAAAGCCTTTGTTAATCGTAAAACAAAAAATTCAAAAGGTACAGAATAGTTGTATTAGACTGATATTTGGTTTAAAACGCAGAGATCACGTAAACTGTAAGTTGGTCACTTTGAAATGGTTAGACATGCAGAGGAGAAGATCGTTACACACCTTATGTTTACACTATAAAATAATAATCTTACAAAAACCTCAAAAAAAGTACGTTTTCGTGCGGACGTGCACTCGGTCAATGTTAGATTTAGGGGTAGATTATCTCCGCCAATATTTTATACCGTAAGTTTTAAAAGATGTTTTTCATAGCAAATATGCAAAGTAATAAATGAACTTCCTCGTTGTTGTGCATTGGCTGAGTGTGCGTCAATAGCCATTTTCAGAAGACGCTATGCTGTTTTTTTATTTGGGCAGCAGTGTTCTTGACCCCAGTTATGCTTTGTTTTTTTTCTTCTAATTGTGAAGAACCCTTTCGGACATGTTCATTGGAAATTGCGAGGAAACTTTACTTGTAAGATTCGTGTAACTTCTTTTGATTTTTTTTATCGCTTCAGTAATTAACGTTTGTTTTTCTCTTTTGTTCTATGGTGAGGTGGAAGATCGGTACATATTGAACCTCATCATAAGTTTGATCATCGTAGATATTTATTTTAAGTATTGTGTTCTTATATTTGTATTTTTTTTTGTATACACCTAATGACCAATAAACCATTATTATTATTATCTGACAGCAGTACATCGCATACTTAAGAGGCGAAATATATGATCCTTTTAATTTAGCTAAGATCGACACTAAATTGGTTATTTTTGAAAGATTTTAAACACTTTGTGTAATGGTATGTAATGTTATACAGGGTTCCCCAAAAACTCCCGGGACGGACCTATAAGTTTTGAACGAGTGAAGAAAAATATTTGAAAATTTGGGGATCAATAAAGAGTCATAAAAACTACATTCTTAGATAGTTTAGTACTTCCGTGCAATGTGGAGTTCTTTTAGGGGATTCCACAAAATGTGTAGAATCCCTGACATATGATTCCGTGTTCCCTGTAAAAGGAGACAGAATCTGCGAGATATTTGGCCAACTGGTATGTTGGGGAGTTGATGGCACTAACGATAGGACGGAGGGGGTCGTCTAGTTTATGAATCTTCGGTAGTCCATAAATTCTTGGTGGTACCGGCGCCTGCACAAACAATCCTTTCTACTATTCTGCTGGAATTCCTGTGGATTTTGTCAGGTCTTTCATTTTCCTTACCATTCTGTCTGTGGGGTCCTTCTTGATCTTCCTGTAGGTAGCTGGGTCCAGTAGGTTCATCATTTTGTCGTCATATTCTTTCTGGTCCATAACAACGGTGGCATTCCCCTTGTCTGCCTTCTTTTCACCAACCGTCAAGTTGGATTTTGGTAGTTTTGCTGACTTCAGTACTCTCGCAACTTCTTGTCGGATCTCTTCGGCTTTTAGTGCGGGCATCTCTCGAACAGCCGTTTCCACTTCGCAGATGATTTCCTCTTTTGGGACCTTCCTCTGCATTTTTAAATAATGTTGTGTTTTAAAGGTAATGCAAAAAGAAACACAACCCCATAAACCAAAACCGTATATCTTAATTCTTTCAAGAATTATGAGTGGTTGACTACCAACTGGGAAAATAAAGTGTTTTCATGTTTTTTTTGCACGTTTATTACGATTTTTATAACAAATGTTCAAATTGTCGACCTTCTTCGGTCTCGCAATGACCCAAACGCTCATAAATGGAATTTTGAACCATCAGGAGCATATCTTTAGTGATAGTGGTGGTTTCCTAGTTCCACATTGCATGGAAGTTCTTAACTATCTAAGAATGTAGTTTTTATGACTTTTTATTGATCCCCAAATTTTTTTCTTCACTCGTTCCAAATTTCTAGCTCCGTCCCGGGAGTTTTGGAAAACCTGTATAGGTAATATATGTATATGATTATTTAGTAAGATGGTATGCATTTAATTTGTTTTGAAGATTCAGAATGCATAGTTCCTTTAAGTTCAAGACCTGGAGCTGCAAGTAGCACCATATGCACCCAAACCCGATTAACACATTACAACGCCTTGACCACAACTACCACAAGCGACCTCGGCTAGATTTAGGAAATTTAAAACTTAGTTTATTTGAAATAGAGAAAATGATAGGTAACGAATAATTTCATTTTAAACTAGGAAATTAATAACAATTCTCACTAAAAAACATAAAATTACATAATAACACATTTTGCAATATTTTTTCATGGTAATTTACGTTCTAGTAAAAACTTGCAATTAGCAAATTAAGTAAGGTCACTTCGCCATAATTGCATTAAACATAGGTTTTTTCAACATTAAGCAACCCAATCAATTTCTTTTTAATACGCATATTGTAGTTTGTGAATATTACTTTAATATTTATTATGGTGACTTTTAACGTAAACTATAGAATTATGTTAAGGTGTTTTTTAATTCCTCAACGTTACCTTCAATAAAGATCTTCCAAAACCATCGTGTCGTTAATATTTCGGTCGCCGGGATGTGCAACAAACACATCCTATAAGTCACTGGAGTATGTTTCCGTAACTTCGAAGTGGAATGCGAGTCCACCCTCCTTTACGTTCACCAGTATCGACACAGTCTAAGCGGCGCCCTGCATATCCAGACGATCCCGGCGTCGTCGTTGTGTGTGCACCAAACCACCAATGACGGATTGCATCGCACGCTGCGCCCGATATTCTTTTCTTCTTTGTTTTCTAAAATCAACCCCCACTTGTATTACTGGGGGAAGTTTTTAGAGTGTACCATCAGACGTACATGAAGACCTCTCAGTCATTGCACACAATCCGCCAGGGCAACATTAATTTTTTTAAAAATTTGTTTTTGAGTGATGGCATCGTCGCGGTTTAGGTTTCTTAGAGACCTGGAGGATTGTGTTCAAGATGAAGTTTGTTTTTCTGATCGTCGAAGAAAGGTAGGATGTTTTTTTAATAGGCAATTGGAAACCGTTTAACGAGCTAATAATATTTAGTGGTCGCCTATATTTAGAAACTGTTGCATTCCTCCGTTGGGAGTGTTAATAAGTCGATAATTTAATAAATACGTTTGGGTTACGTCTATTTTTAGTAAATTTTTGTCGATAATAGGTAAACATTAAGCTATTATTGTTTAATGATCACAATGACGTTAATACCGTTATGCTAATATTGTCGTATCAATAAACTTTATTGGAAAAATTAATTATTTTTTTATTAATATTTTCAGGAATTAGGTTCACAACCGCTACCAACCATCACAAGCGATGACATCGAACAGACTCTTCCAAGGCCTCGTTCTGGGACGTGGGGTTCCAAATCCGATAATAAAAAATCAAAAGATAAAAAATCCGACGTTAAAAAAGATGGAAAAAGTGACGCTAAGAAAGACAAGAAAAAGGATAAGGGAAGCAGAAGCGGTTCGGCTTCGAGATCGAGTTCCGCTGAAAGACGGAAGTCGGGCGATGATATACACTCACCCAAGAAACCAGGAATGCTCGACGCCTTGAGAGGTAGATCTCAATCAGACGCTAGTAAGAAAAAAGGATTAGCTTTAATGGCCACTATGAGAAGTGCTATGGTAGTAAGTGTTTCTAAAAATATTTTTTTAAATCAGTTAATTCATTTGATTTATTTTTTTAGCACACAGGCTTAATGCACGCACCTAAACCAAAAGCGCCAAGAGATGGGTCTGCTCATCCAGTGAAAGATGGACCACACACTCAATATTATCACACAGTTACTGCTGCGTCCACAAATAGGGGCACTATGATGAAGGTTATGGACATATTTAGAAATAAGAATAGTTTACAACCGGAAGATAGGAAAAAGGTACGTTTCAAATTTTCTTTTAAGTTAGGCAACCCAATTCACTTCGATGTATTTTTAAGTTACCTTTTTTTAAAACTATCTCAATAATAGTTTATCACTTTACATGCACATGTATATTTCATAAACATTAACAAAAATACGCAAATTTAAACGCGATTCTGTCATCTCCTGATTACCACCGACTGATTTATTTCTGTTTTTCTATATTCAAACTCGAAAACATATGCGTCAGATGTGTGGTTTTTATCGCGTATCAATTTTTGTGGTTGGTTATTATTTTGTCCAATTAATTATATTGAATTATTATCGACTATCGATGACGTTTTTTTTATTACCCATTAAAGAATGTTATCATTATTCGCGGTTTACATTTTTTTATAAGAATAATGATTTAATTGTATATATTATCTGATATAAACAAAATTGTAATTGCATTTTGTTTTAATTTTGAGATCATTTTGTTTTATTAAGTAATAAATTGAATAACAAATTAAACTATATAAGACAAAGAAAAACTAACTGGCTTAACTCACTGATTGTATATTTTAAAAAATAAGCGATTAAATCGTATAAAACAGGTTAAACGACATTGTTTCATATACAGCTGTTTAAAATACTTTTTCCATTATTGAATTATTAAATTGAATCATTATTAAGTTAGGACAAAGTTGATTAACAATAAATATTGATAAATAATTTTCGTTAATGTTTCGATTTATAGAAAATGTTGGTGGATATCTTTTAATAAGATATTTTAAACTACCTATATTATAAAACATAACTTCGCAAAATGTTGGAAAATAAAACGGCAACTTTACTGCCGTTTTATTTGTACGACTCTTTCAAACAGCGGAATAAAGTATGGGAAGCTAATTGTTGGAAATGTTTACACAATAAAAAAAATATTTATAGTAAAGAAAATCCGTGGTACTGTAAAATTTTTTGAGTCAGATACGATTTCAAAACGTTCAATGTCAGTGGCTAGGTTGATTATTGGTGGGAGATACGCATCTATGTAGTAGGCTCCCTGGCTCGGTTGCAATTTAATCGTCAGTTATCACCAGAAGCTACTTCATAATACCGTTGTCTCATTTTGAGTGAAATTTTCGTTAATCAAGTGATTACTATTAACCGATTTTGTTGTAAAATTTTAATTAGATAGTGTGATAGAGTGAGTTTAAAATTTATAAATTGAAAATCAGTAACAACATTTTCAGCAATAATTCCCATAGACATAATCATAGATTTCATACCAAATAAATCATGAATTAATTCGCGCCATAGAATTTAGAATTTTCATTTCTTCGTTTTTCTTATCGTAGTATTTCGGTTCCTTCTGCGTGACCTTTCCATGAGTGACAATTAACTTTAAACTGCAAAAACTGTTCAGCCGTCTCGGCGGATAATTTAACCTACATTAACTTGCATTACATCATCGTCAGGTGCGTTCAAGTATTAAACGCATTTAATACTAAACATTAATTCCCAGATTAAAATTGTTTTTGCTTCATGTATTGTATGCAAAATTTGAAGATTAAACATCTTCGTTAATGTCAAAGATATCTCAATTATATATTATTTAAGTATTGTTTAAGGCTTATTGATTAATCGTTTTTTGATATCGATTTAATATTTGCTCAAATCCTTTTATTTATATTTATAGCAAGAGAAAAATTTATTTCAATTTTTTTTCAAAACGTTGGGCGAAAATTTGCGAATAATGTGGTGTAGTTAGATGTTGATTATTGAGGTCACACACATTAAATAAAAGCCAGGTCTCGTAAATTAGTCTGGTGTCTTCATAAATAACATTGCACGCTTAATACGTATGAAGTGGAGTCTTACAATTAGGAAAAGAGGTCCGAATTTAAATACTTTGCGAAAATGTGATAAGGATCATTTCAAATATTTGTTCTTGTTGAAAATACATCATATTGTTAGGTAAATGTTATCCATCTCTAATGTATAACATGGAAGGTTTATTTTCAAAAAGGTATAGTTTCACCATTTTGAGCCATAGAAATTTATTCTGTCCTATTGTGTTGAGAAACTGTGGTTTCTTCGAAAACGGGTGTGTTAATGTGGATAAAGTTCTGAATCATAGCAATATTTCAGTCAGAATTAACAGTTACATCTATAAAAGTCTTTTTGCGTTGCACTCATATTCTTTTATTATCTGTTTATACATTACTTGTTTGTATATCAAGACATAGAGAAGTTATTAGAAATACACAATTATACAGGGGTGTTTCAGGTTTTTGTAGCAGGACTTTAACAGTCGATAGATCTTTTAAAATTAGCACAAAAACCTCATATAAACATAGATTGACAAACGCTTTATTTTAAAGATACAGGGTGTTTAAGTTAAATTTTTTAATTGATTTTTATTTAATATTACACGTGTATTTCAACCGATTCTATTCAAATTTGGTATACGGAGGTTTTTTGGCATGAGAAAGACGATTATGGAGTCCGTTTAGCCGGTCTGTAACGTATTCTTTACGGATTAAAATAACAATTACTTTTCTGACAGTATACTTTTTGGCTTTTTGAATAAAAATTCTTATTCTCGGTACTTTTTTAAGCAAAAACGGTACTCGATATAGACCAATTCTTTTAGAGGATTGTTAAAGATAGGTATAATAATGTTTGCCATTGAAACAAAGTAGGTAAGTTCACTAATGTTTTAGTTTATTGTATAAGTGTCAAATCACTAGTAGTTGTTGATCAGTGTTAAATTAATTTTTATTATTCGTTAACCTTTAGAGGACCGGGACCAGCACTTAAGTGGTGGTCTATGTTATCAGTACTTTGTATATAATAAATATATCATATGAAGTACATTTTGTATCGATATTCAGACAATATGTTAACTAAAATCCCAGCCCGCTAAAGGTTAACGTGTTAAATTCAATTTTCTTGTTTATTAACGTGCTAAATTCATTACTCTTTTTCCTAATCGTGTTAAATTGTTTTTTTTTTTCATTTTTTGTTTGTTGCATAAAAACTTTATAAAATACCGTTTATTTTTCCTAACCAAGAGTTAGCGAATATTCATTTTGTTTATGGGTTTGCAAACGGAAATTCAGCAGAAGTAGCCCTAGCGTATAGGAGAAGATATCCACATAGAAGACGCATCCTTCTGTGTTTGTGGACAAATAGTTGAACAAGGGCTAAATCATAACGAGTAGATCGTAATAATGACAATGTTAGACTGCAAAGAAACTTTAGAAGAAGAATTTTGCGTGAGTGCGACAAAAACCCCACTACGAGTGTTAGAAGAGTTTCGAATGCCTTACGAATTTCTAGGGCACGTGTTTATCGCCTTTTAAAACATGATCATAGACATGCTTATCATTTACAACCCTTGCAAGGATTGCAACTAAGCGATGAAGAACGGCGTGTAACGTTTTGTCGGTGGATTGCTAAAGCATCAGGCAACAATCGAGATTTTTTAAATAATGTAATGTGGAACGATGAATCGTGTTTCACAAGACGTGGGATTGTAAACTTTCACAATTTACATGATTTGGTATCCCTACGCAATTCGGCCACGAAACTTCCAACATAAATTTAGTGTCAACGTCTGGGTAGGTGTTTATAATAATCATCTTTTCAGGCCATACTTTTTGCCACCGCAACTAACCGCTGCGGCGTTCTTATAATTTTTGGTAGCTGAACATGCCAAATGTGGGATGACATTGATTTAGCTTTAAGAAGAAAGGCCTGGTTTCAACTTGATGATTGTGTAGCTTATCATGGTAGGGTAGTAAGAAATTGGCTAGACAATTATCTTGAAAATGATAAACTTCAGTGCATTTTGATAAGAGTACCCTTTTTGCTTAAAAAGTACAGAGAATATGATTTTTTATTCAAAAAGTCAAAAAGTATACTGTCAGAAAAGTTATTGTTATTGTAATCCGTAAAGAATACGTTATAGAGTATACCAAATTTCAAAAGAATCGGTTGAAATACACGTGTAATATTAAATAAAAATCCATTTAGAACTTTAATTTGAACACCCTGTATCTCAAAAACAAGCGTTTGTCGACCTATGTTTATATGAAGTTTTTGTGTTAATTTTAAATCGACTTAAAGTCCTGTTACAAAAACCTGAAACACCCTGTATAAATATGGATAAAAATCACTTTAAACTTAAGTATAAAATTACAAAAAGAAAAGTGATTTATGTTGCATTAAAATTTGATAGTATTCAATGTTATTTTCAGGATTATGATTGATTATCCCTAATTTTATTTAGGATTATCTTGAATGTCATAAAATAACAGATGATCCTAATTAAAACTTTTATTATATAGACATAACTAGTTTACTCCATCGTAATCTATTTTATGGTCAAATATGCTATATGAGAAGATTAAAATTAGATTATGTTTGATGTTCTTGATTCGAAGTGTGCAATTTAGGGCTGGTTTGGCTCACACATACAATGTGAGAAATTTAGGCAATCTATTCTGTTTTACTAGGTCATATTAGATATGTGTATATGTGTATGTGTACAGGTTGGTTCAAATTTTAATTGGGAAACTTTACTAGGATGTAGTACTTGCCAAAATAATACAAGCATTTTATACAAACATAGAGTCGTAACTTTTTTGTGAAGATACCTCCAAAAGATTAACTTTCTGAAGGTGGTTTGTACAGTCTGTTGTTGAACATAACGAAAATTTTGTGGACGGATGAAAATCCGTGTATAATCCCCATGTAGTTCGTCCAAAAATCTACCAAACTGAGTTTCCTTTTAATGTGTGGATTGGAGTCATCAATAATACCAGAATCTGTGAGTCTTATTTTTTGCCACCTCGTTTAAACGCAGTTTGTTTTTGAATTTTTTTGCAAAATGGTTTGGCGGAATGTTTATTGGGCGTTTGTCTAGCTCATCTGGAGCAACACTGACTTTAAATAGATCGTTATGGAAGTAGACGGATAGGATGACTTGATCCTGTCAATTACGAAGAGGCCTAGGGTCCTAATCTTAA